AGGCTGCCCAGGAAGTGGTGGAGTCCCCATCCCTGGAGGTATTTAAAAGACGAGTAGATGAGGCGCTTAGGGACATGGTTTAGTGGGCATGGTGGTGTTGGGTTGATGGTTGGACTCGATGATCTTAGAGGTCTTTTCCAACCTCAATGATTCTATGATTCTGTGATTCTGCATTCTTCCCGCTCCCCATATTGAAGTTACAATTCCAGTCCTGGGTACTCCATGAAGACTTCCTATTTTTCTAGATTATGGCAGTTTTACATCACTCTTAAGTGCTTCTACAAGCTCTGCGAGTACAGAGGGAGTAGTACTGCAGCATGTCACATGTGGCGCAGAATGGCAACTAACTAGTGCAGATCGACGAACACTGCAGGGAGGAAAGGGTGCTCTCAGAGGGTGCCCTTGTGTGTCCTTACGGCAGCATGAAACCCGTTGTTTAACATGTACATCTTAGAGGGCTGCATCAACCAAAAATGCTGCATAAACTACATGATGTGTATCAGTGAAGTGTGTCTACTCAGACAAAAGATTTAGTTAAATTAGATAAGATCTGATTTTGTTCATCATTCATGTGAATTTAGCTCAAGGTTGAAAAAGAGAAGAAAGCTGGTACAACATTTGAGAAGCTGACAAGAATCCCACTGATTATCTTCAGCCCTATAATTTCTTTCAGCTCTAGTAACAAAGCTAAAGTTACCTGCAAATTCTTTGTTCTCCAGAGCATTCTCAAAGCATTTGCTACTATAAGCAGTCACTTAAAAGCCTGTATAGATATCCGTTGTATTCTATTTCTTACCCATGGAAGCCACCAGTATGTAGTGAAACTAAATATCCTAACCTCTACATTAAATGTGTGCTTCCTATGATATACAATTTAAAAGACAGTTAACATGGGACATACTGTGATGAGCAGTTATAATACTTAAACCTGAAGTAATTTTCTAACTAAGGAGTCTGGTAACAGTAGAGCCAGAAAAGTGCAGAAAGCTTTACCATATACAAAATTCTCCTCTGCCGAGTTCGTACCAATCCATAAAGAAAAAACAGGGTTTGTCACAGCCACGTTTATTATAAATCCAGATGCTGCACTCCCATGAGATAACAGAAAAATAGGTATTGTAAAAGGTGAATGTACATGATGAAGGCTAAAATTCAAAAGCTCAAAACCAGCCCCAAGGCGATGAAAGGAGGAGCCAGCAATGAATGATAAACATCCTGACTGTGCTGGTTTTGGCTGGGATAGCGTTAATTTTCTTCATAGTAGTTAGTACGGGGCTGTGTTTTGGATTTGTGCTGGAAACAGTGTTGATAACACAGGGATGTTTTCGTTACTGCTGAGCAGTGCTGACACAGAGTCAAGGCCTTTTCTGCTTCTCACCCCACCCCACCAGCGAGTGCTGGGGGTGCACAAGAAGCTGGGAGGGGACACAGCTGGGACAGCTGACCCCAATTGACCAAAGGGATATTCCACACCATATGACGTCATGCTCAGCATATAAAGCTGGGGGAAGAAGGAAGGGGGGGACGTTTGGAGTGATGGCGTTTGTCTTCCCAAGT